AAATAAATAAATAAATAAATAAATGGGTGCAAAGGTCATTATTACCAGTCCCATGTGTTTAACATGAAGGCTTAACGTCATGTCATTGTTCTGAAGGGTAATGATAAAATGTGAAGAGGCAGAGAAAGTGGAGGCTTGGGGTCAGGGACCAGTGGAGCCTTCAGCTCGGCAGCTAACAAAGGTTGCATGCACGCTTGCACACACAGAGTAAATCTGGAACTAAAAAACCTTTATATCTTTAGATGACGAGATCTCTGCATCTGAAGAAGGGCGGAGAGGGGTGTATGGGAGAGCTTGAAGGGAGGAAAGGGAATGGAGAGATGTTGTGATTATTATAATCTCAAAAAAAATAAAAGAGTGAGATTGTGCACAAACTTTTTCACTAGGTGTGCTAATTAGAGGAATACCTTGACAAGGATGCCGATGCACTTGTTAAAGACATGCGGTATTACTGAGATTAGGGGAGAGTTCTCCGGGGAGAGGGGGGCTGGTTAGCTTGTGCAGGCAGACAGAGAATGACACCTTAGCTAAAAGGTTATGTAAACCATTTGCTGGAAAAACAAAGACTAGGTTTTTACATTCCCGAACCCTACTATCTGTTTCAAGTTACTTGAGAGCTGAAATTCTTTGCACACCATCAGATTGGGTGACAGTTCTGAATTAATAAATCATTTCTGTAGTTTTGGAATGCAAAAAACTCTTTTTTTATCAGCCACAACTGAACCTACTTAGCCAAATAAATAAATAAATGAATAATCAAAAAACCGACCATTAATGAATCCTGACCTTAACCCTATGTTATTTCTTAATATTTTATTTCTTCTTAAATAATATAAAGACTTTTGAAGTACCACTATCATTTCAGTATAAGCTGATCAGGATGATATCCTGTAACTTTAAAATAAACTCCTAATGAGAATTCCACTAATCTATAGAAGGAAAAAGAAAAACAATTAGCCAATGTTGAAAGGAGATGAAATGTACTTTTTATTGAGGATTCATTTTTTTTTTACATGCAAAGCTTATTCTAAAAGTGAATCTGTATTGAGTTGACCCTGTCACGAAGGAAGTCCACACAATGGGAAAAACCAAAGCTGTTTACACAAAACCTCATTCAATTACTCAATCCAGATCATTTTCACTAGTAGTTGGTTGGGCTCAGAACTTCTGAACTTAACCAAATAGTAAGTCTAGCTAGCTTGTGACTTTTGCTGGTAGTGCTTCTCAAATTTAGAGGAAAAAAAAAAAGTTACATGAGAATAAAATCCCCAGAGTGAAGCCAAATTTTTTAAGGAGAAAATTGACAAAACCAAAACCAAACAACCCCCCCCCACAATAACAATAAAATAACAAAACAAACAAACAAGGCCATGCATTCAATTTGGCATGCAGAAGGAAAACCAAAATAAAACAAGGGAATTAATGTCCATCGTGAGATTGCCATTTACACTTTAATAACCAGAATGACTGACATCACGAAAACTGGAAGTCAGATAGAAGACGGCATAGTCAAAAGGAAACCAGTAATCAATATTGTGTAAGAAATACTAATTTGAGGATAACCGGTCAAATCCATTTGAATACGACCAACACATCTGTGGATGGGACACGCACTGCATTCTTTTTACTTTGTGACTTTAAAAAAATATTAAAATTCATTTATTTTTATGTGCATTGCTGTTTCGCCTGCATGTATGTCTGTGTGCAGGTGTCAGATCTTGGAGTTACAGTTGTGAGTAGCCATATGGGTGCTGGAAATTGAGCCCGGGTCCTCTGGGAGAGCAGTCGGTGCTCTTAACTGCTGAGCCATCTTCCCAGCCCCTTCTTTGTGACATTTCTTACTGATCTTTTCCTAATGTATAGTTACATTAAAATACAGTAAGATACTTCCCAGTATGCACCAGTTACTTCCCTTTTCTGCTCTGAAATGTTGTAGCAGAGGAAACAGTACCTATCAACTAGACCAGAGAGACAAGGGATGGATAAGGACAAAGCCTATCCAGAACCAGTCATTCAGACTGGACAGACTAATGCCAGGTTGGTGTGTGATTGTATTCTGTCAATCATGTTTTAAATAAACGCTGATTGGCCAGGCAGGAAGTATAGGCAGGAAAACGCGACAGGAAGTAGAGGTAATGCAATGAGAACAGGAGAATTCTGGGAAGGAGGAAGCTGATTCCTCTCAGTTCTGCCCAGACCACCAGAGAAGCAACATGCGACCTGCCCAGCTGAGAAAGGTACCGAGCCATGTGGCTAACATAGATAAGAATAATGGGTTAATATAAGTCATAAGAGCTAATAAGAAGCCTGAGCTAATGGGCCAATCAGCTTATAACTTATGGAGACCTCTGTGTGATTTTCTTTGGGGCTTGCTGGCTGTGGCGTATTGGGCAGGACAGAAAACCCCAACAAGCAGGCCCCCTCATGTTACACCAGCTAAAGTCATGGTTCCCATTGCTGGTACACACTACACGGACTATACTCTGCTAGAATTAGCAGATGCCCACTTCAATGTCTGCTTGAAATGCACATGAAAATCTAATACCAAACAGACTTATATGTCACTACTTGATTTGGGATCAGGGTGAAGATGCAACCTGAACATGTTTGGAATTACAGCTAAGCAAAAAAATAAATTTAAAACAGGCCTAGGCAGAGAACCATGACATTGAGGTTGGTCTGGAAAATAGTGTGAGTCTCAAGCCAGTTTGGGCTATAAAGGGAGGACCTTAAAAATTCAAAACAAAGGACAAATATTGGCTCAGGTTTTCTTGAATAAAGTTTTGCCTTATTATTTTCACATTTACTGTAAATGTGTCTCTCGGTGTGTGTACGCATGTGCCACACATTAAACATCTAGAAATCAGAGGTGCACTGGTGGGAGTTGGGTCTCCTTCCACCACCGTATGGGTTCTGCAGTTTGAAGCCTGGGGCTTACCAGTGTTGGGAGGAGGAGGCAGGACATCGCTGGCCCTAGTTCAGGTCTCCAAGCACAGAATGATAGCATCGTCGTCTCCACAGCAAAGATCAAGTGGCCAGTATGGAGGGAGGGAGTGCCTTTGGCAGGGGCTGACAGAAAACTCCTGGATATTCCTAGGGTTCTGTTTTCAGTTTAAAGGGACGACACAGCACCACACCGTTTTCAGGTACGTATTGTTAGTTAAATTCTTATGCACAGGATGTCCTGTGGAATGCACACAGAGCTCACTGTGGTTCAGCATTTAGCCTGGAAACTATGAGAATCTGGGCTCAATTATCGGTACCACAGAGAATAACAGTAACTATAACTTAACAATTGAAGGATGCCCTTGAGTTCCAGTATAAAAGAAGTCGCCCTTGCCTAGTGCACACCAGGAGAGGTTTGGATGCAGATGTGGATGCTGGACACTAATTTTAACTTCAAATGTTTGTTCTTTTGCATTTTGCATGTTCCCTCTAATGCAAAGTTGGTGCGCCTGGGTTCATACAGTCCAATGAGGACACACGACTAAATCCTGAAGGAAATCTGAAACTACCTGAGCAAAAGTAACAGCGCTAATTATTACTGAAATTGTTGCTGGAAACCACACAGCCCACCCCCTTCCCTTTCTAACACAAGTAACTGCCTTACAGCAAAGCCACCAGGAAGCCTGGAACGAAGGAGATGCGTATAGCAATTTTCAGTTCTTGCCACCATCGGAAAGGCCCACCACGCTCATTCGGGGCATAACGAAGTTATTGTTTTAGAAGAACTCCGTGTTCTGTGTTATGGTATTACAGGTGTGCACCACTGTGCCCGGCTCTAAGTCCCAATTGATTGGTGAGCAAAAATTGGCTATAAGTCTTGCTTAACATTTTACAGAAATTCAATTTAAAAATAAATTGAATTGTAGATCATACGTCTTTTTCAAAATTATGTAAAAATCTGTATGTGGAATAAATATGGATTTTAAGGAGCTGGGGGAAAGGCTCCAGCGGAATGCTCTGCCTAACTGCCAGGCTCCTGTAGTTCTGCCTAAAGATGTGCACCTGCGAGTATCGTTAAAAAAGAAAAAAAAAATGTGTGCTGAAAATGCTCGAAATTAGCCAACTGGGAAAAACTCGAAACAGCTCAGTTTTTAAAACTTTCATAGCTGATGCCATCTTTAAAAAGTGAAATTGTTTCTTTACGTACAGATTGAAAAGGGAATTCAAACTATCTTATTGAGAAATCAATATACTACTGTATTTTAGGGTTGGATATTGACAGCATTTTTACAACATTGTTTACCTAGAGGTAAACAAGGAATAAGGTAACGAAGATACTTCTGTCACAGACCTAAAGATGGTCAAAGAGATGAGTCATGACCAAGGGGCTGACAGAGTCTGGCATAGTTCCTTATCCGTGGGCAGCAGATCCCTGCTGGGGAGGCCAGGGGACCTAAGTTAAAGGGAGAAGACGCAGGATAGAGAGTTCCAGCTCCAGCGACTTCAGTGGGAAATACAGGCAGAGAGAGAAAGCAAAGCCAAGGAACTCAGAACCAGCAGGTGAGCAGCAGCAGAAATTCTGGAAAACAAGTCTAAAGTGGGCCTCTCCTGGAGCCGGTGTTTCTGTTCCTCCAGTGGGTACGGTCGATCCGTAACTTCTGGGGTGAGGAGTGCGGAGACCCTTGTGGCCAACAGAGAGACTTGTAGAAGATCGCATCTAGATGGATCGCTCCTCCATCCTTCCCCAGATTGTCTTATCTTCCTTGTTTTTCCAGCAGCGGATAAATGAATGGATTTGGTAAGGGAGCGGAAGGAGCCGGCAGGGCACCCAGAGGGGCTTTACCATGTTCAGGCTCTGAACTGAACTCTGCTGAGCAAGCAGGCTGTCTGCCTGAAAATCACCTAGTCAGCCGCTCAGTGGCAGAGTGCCTGCCGGGTTCAGCCCCCAGAACCGTTACAAAGAGGGAAGAAAAAGTATAGAGATTCAACTACAGGTATCCATGCGTTGAGGGAGGGGGTCTCAATACAAAAACACAACACAACACAACCCTAGATACAAGGATACTGAACAGGAGCCAACTTTATTTTATAAATCTTCAAATATGGTCTCTTTAGGATTTTCAGTATTAGGAAGCAGGAGTCCTTGGGACATGGGACGGTTCTCTCAAAAGGAAAATTGCATCCCAGTGTTTCTCCAAGTCAGCAATCAGCTGAGCTGTTCTGCTTATCAAATGTATAAATATTTCTAAGTGTGGAAAAATATTTCCGTTCTGATTTGGAAGCCCAAGCTGATATAGGCTTCGATTTTCTTCAGCACTGAAATTGTACACAACTCGAGGCCTGAAGAATAAGCAACTTTTTAAATATCCCATATTTACTGATAAAACCTAGAGCCATAAAAAAAAAAATGATACGATAGTACCTACATAGGAAACTATACATTAACTGTTTTCTTTTCTTCAGAAGCAATTGAAATTTTTCAAAATTCAAACACAAAATAGTCAATTTTCACTTACTATCACACAGTTCAAGTATTCTCTTAGGTTTACAGTTAGCCAGCTAGAACATATTAAGTAACTCTACAAAATCGCATTCCTCTCAAGATTACCGCCATACAAAATAGTGTGTCCATCACTACTCGGAATCATTAGAGCACATGGAAAGAAAGACGGCCGCAGAGAGGTCTTTATGAGCAAGTATTAACACACAGCAGACTGCACACATTAGAAATAAAAGCATTTGCAGGCAATTCCCCAAGTACTTGAATTCATGTAAACAAAGACTAGGCATATTCCTGCAGGGAGAACATGTACTAACCTAGATAAAATATATGCAAACGGCTGCTACTTTGAACCATATATTACTGGGATATCACACAAAACCAAGAGACATTACCTATCATTTTTAATACCTAAAAATGTTACAAATTTGTGAAATACAGGATTGATACTTCTTAAGGCTAATAATGAAAAGGAGTAATTTTGCAAACCGGTATCCATCTGTTGTCAGAAATAAATACAGTTATCTCAATGTATTGCTTCACGGGAGCGCATCTTCTCTGCCTTAGCCAGGACATTCAATCAGTAGTTTAAAAACAGATTCTCCACATCGAGCCTGGAATCTTCTACCTTGTCAGCTGCCCGACAACTTTCAAAAGAGTTTTATTCTCCTGCTTGAGCTGTTCATTTTCATCTTCTATGTCATCTAGGTCCTGGGGAGAGGGGGAGAGAGAGAACACTTTAAAAATACTGAAAAACATTCTGAAGGAGACTCAAGATAAAAATAAAACACAAAGCTACCTCATTTACTCAATTAATTTTAATGTAATCAGCTCTAAAAACGACACGGACTATGCTCTAACGTTACTTGACTGGGCCAATTCTCCTGGAACACCCAGATTATCAAAACCAGCCAGAAGTCAAGGTTTTAAAATTGTGACACCAGACACCACACACACACACACACACACACACACACACACAAGCACGCACAAAGTGTGTTCCCTGTGCTAGAATTCTAGCTACAAATACATAGCCATAAGGTTCGTACTAAAACCATAATAAGTTTTAGCTATGAGAAATATCACTTGAAGGAAGAGTAGACACATAAAGACTTATCTTTGCAGTTTAGAATATTAAAACTTGACAGAGTCCACCTGCATGACAAGAGCCACACAGCCGCATTGTCATGAGCATACACTTTGTCGTTGGGCTATCAGGCAGATGATTAAAGCGTTAGCAAAGTCAGAATTTGCACCTATTCACAGACTGAACAAATGCTAAGAAACAAGTCGGTTCAAATTATTATAAAAATGAGGTTTCTAAAATTACTACAACTGAGATCCACCTAAATTTAAATGAAATGATAAAATACATTCGTGTATCATTAAGCAATACACTTGAAAAGGGCTTCTAAAATTAAAACTGTTAAAACACATTCATGAGTCATGACTAAATTACAAACTTAGTAGGGAAGCGGTTTTCTGCTTATTTTTAATGCTCTTGGTGTCTGAGACAGCACAAACACATCACGGGCATCACAAATATTTGCCGAGCCTCTTAAACTGAATTCCAGCACAAATAAAGGCATGCTTATAGTGGATCAAGATGAAAGACTACATAAGACCCAAGTCAAATACTGGCCCCGCCAATAGCGACAGGCAACCTTGAGCAAGCTAACTGGGGTGCCTACAACTTGCGGCCATTTCCTCCAAGCTGCATTAGAAGATGCTGGCACTGAAGCCCCCTCCTTCGGTGTGGCATATGGGATCAAACCCCACAGCACTGCCTGATCTAGGCAAGCACTTTACCATTTAATTATTTTGTGGTTAGGACTGGATTAGGGGACCAAGCCTTGTCTCCCCGAAGCAAACCTTTCTTTCTTCCATCCGCTAAAATCCTCTAAATAAAGCAGAACAATGGCATCTCTTCTCCTCACAGCCCCCTGAGTAGATGCTTCCGACTTCGAGCAGGAGGGAAATTCTAGGGCTGGACATGTGGTGAGAAACTCAGCTGATGGGATGAAACTAGAGGTTGCACCATTAATGGCTGCTTTATTAACTGAAGAGCAAACCCTACAAGGCAATGAACAGGTTCTCCACCCTCCCATGCTTTCATCCAGCTACTCAAAACACAAAACAAAACAAACAGAAACACACACACACACACACACACACACACACACACACACACACACACACAGCAAAATCAACCCTGGCATCGAAATGCAAAAAGACTTACTCTGTTTAACAAATCGATCTCTTCCTTGAGTTTTCCAATCATTTCCTCTTTGTCTTGCATGAGTCTCACGAGCCTGCGGTTTTCTTGCCTTTCTCTGGCTATTTCCTGGTGAACACAGATCACAAAGCATTAACCGGGAGCAGGTTGCTCATAGTATGTTAAAATGACCAACACCCATCAATCACAGCCCAGGACTGCAGACATTGGCCAAGTCCCTTTCAGCCACATCAGACACAGAAGACATGCCTGTGACTACGAGGCCAACTCGCCCCTTTGTCAAGGAAAGGGTATCTGCATACTTTTCAAAAGAACAATACTGAAAACATTTGTTCATATGGGATGTCCTTCTGTATATGTGTTGCTTTTATTGGTTAATGAATGAAGATGCCTTGGCCTATGGCAGGGCAGAATATAGCCAGGCTGGAAGAAATAAAGAGAGTAGGTGGAGTCAAAGAGACGCCACGTAGCTGCCAAAAGAGACAGATGTAGAACCTTACCAGTAGGTCACAGCCTTCTGGTGATACACAGATGAATAGAAATGGGTTAATTTAAGATATAAGAGCCAGGTAGGAATATGCCTAAGCTGGAGGCCAAGTAGTGTTGCAATTAATATAGTTTCTGTGTGATGATTCAGGTCTGGGTAGCCGGGAAACCAATGCGCAGGCTCCATTTACAGTTTGTGAATTAAAAAGGGAAAGGTATTTGTGGCTGTCGTTGTTTTCCTTTGAACAACTATCTACTGGGCATGACGGACCATACTTATAGTTAGGAGTTGGGAGTCTGAGGCAGGAAGGCAACCTGAGCTCCAAAACAAGGGTGGAGGCAGAGAAAGAGGCCTTTTCTTTAGTGGTGTAGTCACTAATGAGATGCCCGTGAGCCTGTCCACAACCCCAAAGAAACTCATGGGGACACACACAGAAGTGGGGCTAGCTGGGTAGAGCATTAATGGGAGTGGCGGGGGGAGATGAGGATGTATGCGTAGTGAGAATCTGAATTGGTCTTCATAATAAAAACTCAGAGTCAGCTATCAGGGGTGCAAGCTGAAGGACCAGAAGCAGAGTGGCCAGTCACTAGAGTGCTCTGACCTCACCAACGCTCAGACCGAAGGGGCGATCCTGTCCTCAGACTGCATTCTCAGACTGACTGAGACGGCGCTGCTTCTCAGATTGCACTGAGCTCCTGTCTCCTCCTGCTTTATAGTCCTCTCTCCACCCAGCCATATCACCCCTGTCTCAACCTCTCTAGTGCTGGGATTAAAGGCATGGGATCCCAAGTGCTGGGATCACCTTTGTGTGAGCTGTGTTAGTGGCTCCTAACAGAGATTAGTCTGCCTCTGTCTCCCAAGTGCTGGGATTAAAGGTGTGTGCCACCATCCCCTGGCCTCTAGTGGCTTAGTTCTGCACTCTGATCTTCAGGCAAGCTTTATTTGTTAAAACACAAACAAAATATCGCTACATACAAGTGACCAACATACATTATGTGCATATATGAAATGCCATAATGAATCTTGTTAGTAAAAGTAAAACCTAATAAAAAAGAACCACCTAGGGGATTAAGAACGCACATCCTTGGGTACAAAAGGGGAAGAAGGGAGCGCAGACAAGCGCTTGTTCCTCTGCTTCCTAACACCCAGGAGCTGAGCATCTCTGATGGTGACTGTTGCTTCACCGAAGACCAGAAACAACAGGGCCAGTGACCATGGGTTGTAATTCTAAAACCATGAGGCACGGTAAGTCTCCAAAAGAAACGAGGGGCAACGATAAATCTCTACAAAGTGTCTCACACAAAGAACAAACAGGCCTAAAAAACACTGTACGGCGTGACATAATCTAGTCGTAAAGACAAAGGCCACACGTCCTTTCTCATTCCTAGATCCCAACTCTTAATGTATGGAAACAAGGGTGTGAGAGTTGGTATAGGTTATGAAATAGATATCAGAGAGAGAAAGAGAGAGAGAGAGAGAGAGAGAGAGAGAGGCGTTTAAAAAAAGTGGGGGAAGATGGCATGTGGAAAGAAAGAAAAGAAGGGAGGGTACAAGGGAGGAAGGGAGAATAACAGGAGAGGGCAAAAAGACCAAAACCACAAATTTTCAACCAATTGTGGTGGCGCACGCCAGTAAAATTTGCTGAAGGAGGCAGAGGCAGGAGGATCAGGAGTTCGAGGCCAGCCTGGGCTACACAAATTTTCATTAAAAAAAATGCCATAATGGATACTATGTAAAAATGTTATGATACTATGAAGCTAATAAAAATGCTTTTTAATTAAAAATCTTTAAAAAAAAAAAAAGAGAGAGAGAGAGAGAGAGAGAAATCTTTATCTAGAGGTTTTTGAATTCAGGGCCTCCGGCCAGGTGTTTAACACACCTATGATCCCAGCACCTGGGAGGCGGAGGCTGCGAGGCCAGGTCCAGGATCATCATCAGTTAACTGCACCATACGTAAACCACGGACAAATGAAAGACCCCAGGGCCTCCACGCAGAGCTGGAAGGGTCTCAGAAAGCAGCCAGCTGCCCACAGCTATTCAAGGCTGCCAGATGCTAGCAACTAAGCCCAGCTCTTCTCAAACCTTCTGGAGTCTCTCAGAGGAACTTATTAAAAAGCAACAATGTGTGGTCTCTAAACCTTTAAATTTAAATAATGATTCCAATTAGAAACGGGTGCAAGCTTCAACGTAACCTACAAATAACCACTGGACCAGTAGTAAATTATATAAATTTCAAGATAATCTTTGTATCACAGAAAGTGACCTCCATTCATGAAAACAAAACACATTTCAACCGATTAGTTCAGCACCATTATTGATTTTAGATCAATGTCCGTGGGACACAGCCGAGACTCTGCAGTTTATAACTTCATGGTGGCATTTGACTTACTGTCGAAACATCCGCAAGCAGGTCTATCTTATTCCTACATGAAAATGGTTCAAGCACCAAATGTGGGCCTAACTCAGAATCCCCAAAAGGTCTACATTAGCACTCCGTTCAGATGGGGCAGCGCATGTCAGTGCAGACAGCTGAGGTCTCACGGACATCGCTCCTCAGGCTACAAGACTCGATAAAAGAGGAATGGCTACCGGACTGAGGAGTCCGGGAAGCTGCCTCATTTCTAAAGTGGACAGAAAAGCAGTAAGGAAACCAGGAAACCCCTAACCACTAGGTCTACGAGCTAACGCACAAGACAGTGAGTCAAAGTTGCCCCTGGAATAGAACCAGGTATCTCACCCCCTGATAGTGCCCGCCACCTGTTTTCGGGCACAATACTGTGCAACCGAGAGAAGAATGCTAAGACGTGTTCATTTTATTTTGACTAACTTATAAGTCATACCTTTTCGAGATCTTCAATTCTCTTTTCCAATGTGCTACTGGAGGCGAAGTTGCCCGCCGTGTTGGCATCTCTGCTGTGTCTGTTGAAACCACCTCTGTCTGTTTGGGGATATCGGCTGGAGGCGTCATCTTCTGGGGCAGTGCTTGCGCTGTGGAAAGAAAAGTGGGTGTTTTATATACATCCCTAGCACTCTAGACGAAAAAGGGCAAGGCGGGTTTTCTCTTCAGTCTGAACAATTAGCACTCCCTGAGGACACACACGATGTACCTACAGTTGTAGAATCTAATCCTCATCCCAACACAATGGTGGGGTAAATGTATAAAAGCACATGAATTCTTTGGGCTGATAACCGAGTGGATGTTATTAGTGTCAGGTACTGTTCCAGGTACTGAAGATGTCTATAGCAACCACAAACATGGCTGTCCTTTCAACCGGGAATGCCATCAGGTACAGCAGGGTGGAAATGACCGTCCACCACTCTTCAGCCAAGGCTAAACACACCAGGGACCTGAACGGAAGGGAATGGGTCTCTTAGACCACCTACAGTGAAAATTCACTTCTCCTTATCTTTTGTTTGTTTGTTTTGTTTTTGGAGACAGGGCTCTGTGTAGCCCCGGCTGTCCTCGAACTTACAGAGATCCACCTACTTCTATCTCTTTAGTACAACAATAATAACGCCTGGCTTATTTTTTCTTTTTTAAAAAATGCTTTTTATTTTCCAGAGTTCAATGTCTGGTTAAATTCCAAAACTTAAAGTCAAAATATAATTAGAACAATTGAAAAAAGAAAGAAAGAAAAGAACTGCCTAAAGTTGCGTATTTCTTACAGCTGATTAACAGCATTGTCGTTATTTAAAGGATTCCATGGAACAAGCTTTACTTTGCCCTCTGTATTGTCTCCTACTACATAAAAATCACCCCCAGAGTGAGCTCCAGGACATTGGGGCTACACAGAGAAACCTTATCTTGAAACAAACAAACAAACAAACAAAAAAACATTGATTGAAAATCTACAGGCTATGCTTATTAAAATTTTTGTTTCCAATCTTTCTTTTTTTTAAAAAAGATATTTATTTACTTATTATATATACAATATTCTGTCTGTGTATATGCCTGCAGACCAGAAGAGGGCACCAGGCCTCATCACAGATGGTTGTGAGCCACCATGTGGTTGCCGGGAATTGAACTCAGGACCTTTGGAAGAGCAGGCAATGCTCTTAACCACTGAGCCATCTCTCCAGCCCCCCAATCTTTCATTAGTGGCCACTTGAGTAGTCTCCAGAGGAAAAAATGGATCCCTGATGTATGAACTTGCCACTCAGAGATCTTTTCAACCTATCTGATCCTAGGGGATCTGACGGTAACTTTCGAACACGCAATGCCACGGCAACCACTGCCTTTGTCCATTATGCTAACTTAGGAGCCCGCCAAGGCAAGCTATGAAAGCTGTGCCCTATAATTTCTACCTTTTCTTTCTTTCTTTGATCTTATCTGCCACTGACAAACATCTGACATTCCTTCCTTGCACAAAAGGTTAAGATAATTAAAAAAAGAGAGAAGTGGAGAGTGGGGTTGTGCTAGGAGCCAAGTAAGTCTCCGGCGCATATTTATAAAGCTGCCGGCCAAACTGCGCTCTTATCTTGCAAAAACAGCCAAAGTTCATCCCGAAGTTCAAATACTCCGGACTGAAATTTTCCCCTTTGAAAGCCAATGTATAACCACTTAGCATACAAGAGTCGATTAGCCTGGATGATAAGATCAACCCCGAGCTAACAGTTTTCAGGAGTCTCAGGCTGAAAACATTACTGGTTATTCCCCTGTGCCTTTAAGTGAACTACTATGAATTCGGTCGACGGAGTTCGGCACACACAGCAAGGCTTTCTCAAAGCGGAAAGTACGGCTTACGTTCTCACGCACGCGCCTGCGTCTTCTGGGCGTGGCCACTTGGTCATTACACAGTGGGGGATTACAAAAGCAAACCAGAACTGCAAACTACGCGTAGCCCCCTTTTAAAATTCATGTATTTTACGCGAGTTGTGTCCATCAGCAATGAGGCTGAAAAATAACTTGTGCCAATAATCAACGTGCTCATCGCCTATGAAAGCTGTCGAGAGCTGCCGGTCTCGAACACTGTCTTGATCCTAGTAACACACAACTTCCCATGGTTCCCTTACCAACCTACGCAGTTTGCAGACCTGACTAGTCTATACCCTACTCACATATTGGTGTAGGCGTATAGAGGTACGCGTATAGAGGTCAGAGGACAGGATCGAGTGTCATTCCTCAAGCATGGTCACATTTATTTACTTTTATTTTTTTTTTTAAATGGAGATAGAATCTCTTCGTTTGCCCAGAGCTCACTGAATAGGTTTAGCAATCTTCAGGGCCTACGTGCCTCTGTTTCCACAGTACAGGGTTTATAAAGGCAGGCTCAGGCTGCCATGGCTGAATTTTTTTATGTTGGCTCTGGGGATCAAACTCAGGTCCTTGAACTTTAGGGCAGAACCATTTCTCCAGCCCTGTTATGTTTTAACACTAGTGACCTGAAGAAAGACTTGGTAAGAATCTCACGAAGTACAAACTTATGGTTATGATAATCCTGAACATGTGTTTATGATGAAGCCTAATGCATCCATCAATCAATTTATTTCGAGCCTATTTACGTCATGCATTCAAACACCACATAAAGTTAAGGCTTGCACTGTTTCAATGGCCAATACGTCTTTGTGAACAATTCACTTAGCATTTCTTGATCATCATGGCTGATGTCTGAACTCAGCTTTACTGAGAAATGACATTTCCCAACCAAACCCGTGAAGACGCATCCTGTACCTCTCTGGAATGACTTCCACGATCACCACTCAATGTTCCCTTACTGTCACAATCAGAAAAGGTGTGTCTGTCCTCATCAAAAAAGTCCAGCAAAGTTTGCTTTGATGCTAGTAAATTAGAATCCAAGAGAAATACAAAGTTCCTAAGATTTAGGAAACAATTTAAAAAGGAGAAACTTAAAATAATGAAAATATATTTTCATTTATTTTAGTAGTCAATTCTACATTCACATTGTTTCGTTTATGGAACTCAAGTCTGACTAACATTAACACAGTTTCTAAGCATGGTAACTGCTTGCACCTTCCTCAATTCCTACACAGTTTGAGTCACAAATGACTGATACAAAGTGCCAGATGCTTCAACAGCCTCCAGACTAACAGACAACTTCCCACGGTCCTTGCAAACATGACCACTCTATACCCTACGCGTAGATCTGAACAGTGTACCCTAGGCCCAGATCTGAACAGTGTACCCTA